TTTTTTTAATGCCTTCATATTTTTCAAAATTGTGAACTGAATCATAACTACTTTATTTTTCTTTCCCTAAACCCGAAGACATGCATTTGACGGATTGAATTGTTTCTCGCCAATATTATCTTTATTACTAGCGGGAACAATTGATTCAGAACGAACATTTAACCGCTTCAGTGATTTTTACCCATATCCCTTTCGGTCCAGTCGCGTAGGCTTGAGCCGGTCGACGACAACGTTTTTTGAATTGACTGCATACATATGTAACGCGTACATTTGGTTGGCAATGGAAAGGATATTTTATGGAACTGAGTTGATAGCCCAAAAATATCATCATTGCACCTCTTTTTCAGGCATTGCAACTCGGTAAATATAAAAGTCATCATCGCCTCGGTTGACTCAGTACCACTAGAGAAAACGTCTTTTTACTGTCCAGATTATCAACATTGCGTTTCCTGTGTTCCTTATTACTTTAAAAATACTTTACAAAATTCAAATTATTGAACGAATTATATCCATTTAAGGTGACTGCCTACTTTTGGAAAAAATATTAAACCTTTTTTAAAACTTCGATTTTCCGAATTGAAATTTAATGCTGATTCCAAATCTGGAAAGAAAAAATGGGCGTCCCGAGCTTGTTTTCGAGATAATCAGCATTTAATGGAAGCCTACGCGAGAGCTTTTGGAGCAAAAATTACGCCACCGGAAGTGATTAGAAAAAAAAAAAAAGATTTATAAGATATTATTTGCAGACTCTATGATTGCACGAATGAAGGCTAGTCAATCATTCTACAATAATACATGGATATTTTCGACCAAAAGACAAAGAGATACATCGATTTGTCATATTTTGTAGTTTCGGTGCTCTTAAAAAATCTCATAAAGTCTAGCAAAATTCCATACAAAAATCTATTTTTTCATGTGTTAGAATATTTAACCTTTTCTAAAATGTTGATATAACCTAGAGTCCCGTACACAATTTGAGGGTTTTGCCCTGTCGAAGCTCAAAACGCGTATGGTTCTTTAATAAAATCTTGTGGATTTTTCAGCAGTTTTTGAACGCGCGCACATGGCCTCAAATCGAGCGTTCAAAAGTAAACAGTCACCTTAATCCCCTAATCTTGGTCCTTAGTTTAAAACCATTGGAAATAGATTGATTTTTTTCATTCATTGTTGCATTTTAGAGAGTAACACTCAAAGCATCTCAGACTGAGATTAAGGATATATTAAATTTTGCATGAATTTGATGTGATAAAGATGGAAAACACTTCAATGAATCATAGCAAGTCACATCCACCTTGTCTACCGCGGGATATCTATTCCCTTGATCTCGATCGTAGCTCAGTTAACAGCAACGACTTCATCATGACTTTCATCATTATCAATGCTATGCTTGCTTTTATTTCTTCATGCAACAATTTTGTGATTATTTACACTATAGCAAGAACAGCATCCATTCAAGTTCCTTCGAATATCCTTGTTCTTGGCTTAGCCATATCTGACTTTGGAGTTGGCATACTCGCACAGCCTGCATACAGCATCTTTAAGTTCTTCGAGATGAAGCGTTCTGTTTCTCTTTACTGTACGTTTGGTTTGGTTTACAGCTACAGCTATTGGACTCTTGCAACTGTTTCCTTTTTCACTTTAACAGCCATAACAGTAGATCGATTCCTTGCCGTCCATATTCATTTACGATACCAAGAGCTTGTCACTGTCAGAAGATACGGCATCCTTCTTGGTTGTATTTGGGTCATTAGTTCAGTTACTTGTGTTTGTCGAATGCAACTTTCCCATATGTTATTCATCCGAGTCGTTGGAGTTCTCTCGCTTGTATTTTTAATAACATTGAATCTTTATTTCCTCATCAAAATATTCCAAGTAATTTGCCGGCACTCAATACAGATCCAAGCTCAACAGCAATCAGTACAACAGTCTATAGACATGCCCAGATACAAGAAATCTGTCAATACCATGTACTATGTGATTGGTGCGTTCTTGGTGTGTTATGTCCCATATGTAGGAACAATGATTGTCTATATTGATGCCAGTAAGAAGATAACACAGCACAAGTTGATGTTGTTGGTGGTTACACAAACGCTTGTCATGTTAAATGGAATGTTAAATCCAATCATTTACTTTTGGAGAATCCAGGAGATACGTCATTCGGCTTTCCAATTGTTTCGAAAAAGCTTCGGCAATTTCCAGTCATGAAATTAAAGCTGCAAATTGCCATCACAGTTCATCTTTTTATTACTGGGTTGCCTGGGTTCCGTTTTTCTGTCTACTGTCTCCTATATAACGAAAAAATAAGAGGCCGGATGCATCCTAAGCAATCGTTAACTCAAGACTCAAGCGAATTGATATAAAAATTCCCAAGTACCTACGTTTTATTTATCTACTTTCTACAGCTGTACTAGGCCTCTGTGCATGATACAAACAACCCAGTGAACGCCTATAGGGCGTCTTGTTCTTACTGTTAAGCTTATGCATCTGAAGGAAAAATCCTCCTTCATAATAAAATCATATTTTTCCTTCAATACTTCCATTGTTACATTGACATCACCCAGTTTTGCATGATGTCATACTGTGTTGTCTAATGTCACCCAGTGTCCTTGGATGTCACCCAGTGTTGCGTGATGTCACCCACGGTTCTCTGATGCCATCCAAGGCTACTGATGTCATCTGTTGTTTACTGATGACATTTTGTTTTTCTTATTGTCAATCAGTGTTGTATGACATCGTCCAGTGTCTTCATCACCCAGTTTTGCTTAACTTTGTTTATTGGTGATTAAATGATTGTAAAAGGATGTCAGACACGTTACAAGAAACTAATTAGCTAGGAACATTTTCTTCAGCTAGTAATAATAATAATAATAATAATAATAATAATAATAATAATAATAATTAATAATAATGATTTATTGAATTTGTATAGCGCAAATCTCAATTGGGGTATTTTCATTTGCGCAGTAAATAGGTGTCAGAAATTGTTTTTTTAGAAATTCGTCTGCCCTTACGGAGCACAATTGTCTCCAAAAATAAGTTTTTACTGGATGTCAATCGCATTGCTTCCATGAATTTTTCGGAAATTCTCGACTTTCACATACCCATAATCTTTTGCGTCTTTGGGGGGCAACCAGAGGGTAAAACCCCACTTATTTTGCTGAAGGCTGATCAGACAATGTTGAAAATATCCAAAGATAAAATGAAGAAGTAAAAAACAGAAAAAGATAGAAGCTTGAAGACGTTTAAGGTAAATTGATCTGTACACGCAAAAATAACTTAGAATAAAGTGATAATCAGTATTGTACAGATAAAAGCAGGCATAGTATAAATTCAATTAAGAAACCTTTCAATTTGGGACAGTTTTTTGATTGGTTACCCCCCAAATACGCAAGGCATTATGCGGATGTGAAAGTCGAGAATTACAAATTTTTCAAGAGCACGTGTTTGTGGGCTAGCTGTTTTGAAAACACCAAAACTTAGTTGGTCGCAACAGAAAATTGTACTATTTCAGCTTCGCCTCGTGAAACATCGAGACTCTCGGGAAAACAAAACTAACTATTTCCCTCGCGACCAGGCATTTTAAAAGTGTATGGTATCTCACGGCCAAGGTTCTTGTATGAGACTTCTGGACTTCTTCTTAAGGTACATTTCCAAGGATACAGCCAAGGATGAGGATAGTCTTGCAGGGATGCTTCTTCAGTCAGATAATATTTTATGCTTCCATAAACGAAATAAACTTGAAAATTAACACTAAAAGAAATGTTTCTATCACTTTTCTTTCACATTTCACTGTATCAGCAAGCGAAAAACACGCCATATAAGTAATAAAGCTCCTCTATGACAGCCCCATTATGCAACGCCTTCTGATAATCCCGAACGGCCAAATAGGAACAATGGATCTAGAATGTATCCTTGCACTTCACCTATTCACATGTGATGTATCAGATCAAAACATTATGGTGGATCGATAGTCGATCGTGGTCTTTTATAGTTCGAAGTTTAACTTCAGTTCTGCCTATATATAAGGACTGGGCATACATGAGATGCTAACGCGTAAACAGACTGGGATGCGAGGTATTTTTAAATATCTAAAGACGTGTGCGTGTTTTTAATTTAGATTTTGATAACCGGGTTACTACTATTTTCTAAATATGCGAACTCACTTGCTGCGAGCTCACGCTGAAATTATTTTTTAATTTCGCTGCCGTCAATCAAAACTAATCAGTCGGTACCTTTCATATTTTTGACTTGCGGCAGCTAAAAAACAAACCCCATGTTCCCATTGTGAAAATAGAAGAAATAGTTCACTGAACAAATGCAACATTCAACCACCACCTGTCATTTGTCGAAGGTCATTGCCTGATGTGTGTCTTGAAGTAATCAATTTCATTTAAGTACGTTCAATATCACTTTTTCATGGTTACTAAAAATAGATATAGCTAATAAGCCTTGAGTGGTCGAAATGCGGACAAACAATGACAAACACTGCAAATAAAGGCGTCGATCAAATGAAAAAGAAGAAGAATATCAGTCGAAAAACTCTAGTTCTTCCATGTATTTGAAACAGCAAGACAACAAAACATTGCTGCAGCATGTTAGCATGTGCGCTTGGCTTGGCTTGTCCGCATTTCAATCCCATGATGCGCAAATGCGACGTCATCTGTGGAAAACGCTGTTCCTTATATGTAAGATATTTAGCGCAAGGCAATCAGACAGACCTTTCCTGAATTTGCTTGAATGACTCACGAAAAATTGCCTCCAAGTCGAGCATAGAATTGATGTGTTCATACACTTACTGTATTCATCAAATTCAATCCATATTTTCATTGTCACGACTCTAGTGCAAGTGAATTTGGAATTATGAAGACTTACTACTTTTGGTGTTATTGACAATTTAATCTTTACTTTTAAAATTGACAAAGCTGGTCAAATGTATTTACAAGAAAAATATATTGATTTTCAATCACCCGGCTCAGAGATTGGCCATCATATTCGCCATGCCGCTGATTTTGCCCCAAAAATAAAGCATTAAAGATTTTTTTTTTCAATCTAGTGGCAAGACCACTTGTTAATTAACTATGAGAAAGCTAGCTGGCTTTACAGTATTGAAGTTAAAAATTCATACAAAGGGTTAATTCTGCAAGCTACTCAGTTTTTAAAATCATCCACAAAATAATCCTCATAGGCAAATCCCCACTACAGTCATTTCTCTTACCCGGTAATGTTTGACAAGTGAAAACTATAAAGCCGATGTCTATTAAATCAAATTTATCTGCGAAATTCTCAAAGATTGGCAACCGAGCTACAAAACAAAGTCATGTACACATTATCAAAGTCCACTCGAACTCTTCTTATACAGCTGCAAGTTTCTTAATTTGTTTGTAAGACTCATTACAACTGTGAAATGAATAGCCAACTGATCAGACGCCTCGATAATGGTGAAGTGGTAAATGACAAACCACACTAGTGCCGTTAGCCTCTCGTGCATATTTTACTCAGCAAATGTCGAGCAGCGTTTCGTATTTCCTGGATTCTCCAACAATAAATAATGGGATTAACCACACCATTTAACATTAACAATGTCTCTGAGATGGTGTAAAAGAAGATCAGTGTCAAAGATATTTTGCCTAGTATAAGATGTGTCGTAATTGCTCCAACAATTGGCACGTTACACAGTACAAACCCACCAATCACATAGTACATAGTGTTGACGGATTTCTTGTATCTGGGCATGTCTATAGACTGTTGTACTGATTGCTGTTGGACTTGGATCTGCAATGAGTGTCGCCGGATGACTCGAAAAATCACAGAAAGAAAATATAATGCTATAAATATTAAGCAAGTTAAGAAGATGATTACCACAACATGTAGGCTAATGCTATAAAACATTGCCTTGCACAAGCTAAATATAAAACTTAGTACCCAAATAAAAGACAATGCTAGAGCATATCGTCGAGTTGTGACAAGTTCTTGGTATCTCAAATGAAGCTGAATAGCTAGGAATCGATCTGCAATTATTGCTACAACTATCATAAATGAAACTGGCGAAACAATCCACACTATAGCATCGTACATTGTTCTGGTTAGCAGAAGCAGCTCAGTGTCACAAATCATTTCAGAAAACTTAAAGGCACAATAAAAAGGTTGACAGAAAAGTCCACCTAAAAGATCAGAGATTGCTAGATTAAGGATTAAGATATTTGAAGGTGTTTGTAGGGATTGTGTCATTCCAATTGTGCAAATGATAACCAAGTTTGTGCAAAATGCCGTAACAGAAATCACAGAAATAATGGCAATAACAACATACACAAATGTACTGTATTCATGAATGGGGAGGCATTCAGAATAGGATCCATTGGTTCTATGAAGTGTCATCAAATTTGTAGTTGAAGGTTGACTCGTAGTGTTCATTATTTATGTCAAATGATCTCTTCTGCTTCTATTTGAAGATACCCTTCTTTTTGGATTCGCTTTCTTTAAACATAGCTGTCAGTTGTAGTTCCGAGTAAACCAGTAAATAAAATTGAACGTTCTGAAATTCCTCAGATTTTTGGCCACTTCAATTTTTACACTGTTCATTCACTTGTAACATAGGTCGTAATGGATGAAACACTTTCTTTGCAGACTATCAGTAAAAACCAACTATCTTTTTGGATTCGCTTTCTTTAAACATATAGCTGTGGTGTAGTTCCGAGTAAACCAGGAAATAAAGTTGAACGGTTTGAAATTCCTTAGATTTTCTGCCACTTCAATTTTTACACTGTTCATGCACTTGTAAAATAGGTCGCCATGGACAAAAGACTTTCTTTGCAGACTATCAGTGAAAGCCAAATGAATTTTGACATTAATTAAGACATTCTCTTGACTTCCTATTGGTGAATAATTTTCTAATATTTTCCTTCACATGTGGGCATTGCCTGATTAGGTAGATCAAATGCAGAATCGGTTCTTTCAAAGTCAGTTATTGATCGGTCTATATAAAGTATGACCACACGCAAACATTATGCAATATCTCAGCTGAACAGAAAAGTGAAAAGTGGCGACGAAGTTCTGCCAACGTACGATATAACACAAGGGCTGTACCACGACAAACCCACCGACGAAGGCGAAGAAACAGTTAAACCAAGAATGACGTTGTTGGATTGTGTTCGCAACGATTTTTTCGTAATAATATATAAATAATGGTCAGGTTACTAGACGAAGAGAGGAAAGAAGCTAGTAAAGGCTTTGATGCAGAGAAACGCAACAAGAAATCTGTCGGAATTTTCGTTACGAGCTAGAAGGCCCAGTAGAACATCTATCGCGTCTTCATTTTGAAGCAGAAAAAAAAATAGTGTGGCGTTTTGGACTTTACCAGCTGTCGCATTCATTGTATAACTATAGCAGCAGAGACTCAGAAGTCCTCTTGAAGAAACGCTGCTTGAAAAAATGATTCCGGCCGTTTTTGATCAATATCGATAATCACTCCAGATGTTTTTTGATGACAATCGATCTTAGAAGAACTGTAATTTGAAACCAAAAGACTTTTATGGTTTATGTCTTTTGTAGGAAATTAACGACTGATATAAAATGTTACGAATTGCTTACTATCAATCACGTGACTTTTTGGAGTTGACTGGGGGGCAAACAAGCGGTTGACTGGGGGGCAACTAGCGGATGCTAAGTCAAAATATATCAAAATAAGTCCTCAAACTATTGTATTTRACTATTTTCACGACATCAAACCAGAAAACAACAGATCAAAACAACCTCCAGGATTCTACAAGCCATCAAAAAAGAGCTGTTACCGGAAGTGACGTCTATTGATAGCAACCTATTGGCTAATAAAGCAGATACATTGAGTTATGATGTCAGTAATCAAGAATTAGCTTGGACATAAAAATCTTAATTCGAAAGTCAACGTACTTCACCGAAGGATCAAGAAAATGGAAGAACTGTAGTCTCCAACTACGTAAGTGGTCGAGCTTTCAAACACATACTTCAATGCAACATGCGTATTTAATTCCAGTTTGACGAATATTTCCACGATTATATACAGAAGATTGTACGATCCGCTACGACAAACAATTTACAAATAATAACATTTATAAAAAGGGACAAAATCAATAAATAAATAATAAAAAAGAAAAAAGAAAACTACTCACAAGTCAATAATGCCAGCTCGACTGATTCCTAGATGTTAATTTATTCATGGCGCCTGCGGAGCCTATGGCCTGCGGAATTCTTAAGCTTACAACAACTCACACACGGATCAGTGCCCGACATTTTAATTAGTTCCTGCGTATTTCCTGACAAAAGAACAATAAGTTGGCGGAAGCGAATGGCTTTTAGCACTTTTTACAAGTTCAAGAGAAATAAAACGGTACGGAAGACGATAGGGGTCACGCGTTATCGGGAACGAGTTGACGGGAACGAGTTGTCGGGGACGAGTTGTCGGGAACAGTTTGGCGGGGACGAGTTGTCGGGGACGAGTTGTCGGGGACGAGTTGTCGGGAACAGTTTGCCGGGGACGAGTTGTCGGGAACGAGTTGTCGGGAACAGTTTGTCGGGGACCACAGGTAGCCCAAGCTTGGTTTCTGTGGTGTCATGTTATAAGGAAATGTATGGGGATTCATCACAAAGTTCAATAAAATCATTGAAACGTGAAATAAAGCCTCGAAACTTTACCCGATCATATGGAGAAATAGCACTTCTTTCGCTCTGTGTGGTTATTTTTTGAATTTAGGCCGTTTTAAGAATTTTTTTCCCCATATGTTGAATATATATTGAGAACATAAGATGACCGGCCAATTCTCTTCAGTGTCTTTAAGAGCGCGTGATGATCTTTGTCAGACAAGGCAAGCTGTACAGCATTTTAACTGACGAACAATATAATATTTTCTAGTGGAAGGTACTCAATGTACATGTCTGTCTACTTTTGGTGGTCATAGCACACTATAATCAATATAAGATTCAGGCATTTTGAACTAATTCTCACAGAGATATTCTGAATTTGATGATTTGACTTTTTACAAGGATTCTGAGTTGACGTCCTCATTTAGTGATTTCTACATTGAATATCTTGGGTTAGAAATCTTGGCTTTGAAATCAAGAAGAGACCCCGTAGGCTTGATAGGGACTTTAACAAGACGATCCTCGACAAACGTGAAATCTAAAAGTAAGAACATCAGTACGACCTGGATAGACTAAAAGAAAGCCTGTGTCCCTCACAGCTGGATAATCCACTGCCTTTGAATATTAAAAATATCACCAACATTCATATGAGATCTTTGAAGGAGTGTTTCACATCTATTTTACTTGAAAATGACTTGAAACTATATTTTGCCAGCAACCATGACAGGCTTTAAATAGATGGTTGATTTAACAATTACTCGCCGAAGGCGAAGTGAATATCGGGGATTTTTTCCGAGACGCGAGTCTTCGAGCGGCGAGGTAAATATTCTCCGATATTCACTGAGGCTGCGGCAAATAATTGTTTTAGTATAAATACACAGGTGATCCTTTCAAAAAAAGAAAAAAAAAGAAGATTAAAGGCATTTTTTCCCGGCAACAGCAACAAAGTGGCAGGCCGTCATTTTGGATTATCGCTGGAGGTGATTATCGTGTGATAGTGTGAGTTTCTCGACCAAATCAGCGCGCGAGATTTTCAATAATCACCTAAGTATTTTTACTAATAAAGCAGTTATTCACTTCAGGCTAAGTGATTATGGTGAATTCACGGCTTGGTGAATATTCACCGATACTGATCACTTTGTTTTCCGCGAAAAATTATGTTAAATAACAGTTGCAGCTGTTAAAAGCTGAATTACATTAAGATAATATACTAATAAAACGAAGAAATAAGAAATGAAATATGAAATATAATATACAAAATTGTAAAATGCAACAATAAATTGTAAAATGCGTATATCCAGTTCTGGAAACACGAGGGAGGTTGCTAAGCACGAAAGAGCACGTAAGAGTCGCATGAGGCGTAGCCTAGTGCAACTCTAGCTTCTTGAGTGCTTAGCAATCTCCCGCGTCCAAATCTGGATATACACACAACAAAGCATTGACCATTGCTTTTACATTAACATAACAAATCCGTAAAAAATATTTATGATATAAGTATTTATGATATATAAAATATATTATACATATAAGCATTTATGATAAAAGTACTATTTATGATATATTTATTTATGACTGAATTTTAGGTGGAGAAAAAACATTTTCAGCTGTTTCAAGTTTCACCTGTTTTTGTTTCGCGGTGTGACAAAACATAGCAACTCTAGGAGATACGGAAATCGAGCGGTTGTTTTCAAAAATACTGTTGAAGCAGATTTGATTACGATTGAATACACAATTAATGGACAGTACTCGACACAAAGAAAGATTAATAGTTCCCTAACATTCAAAAGATGTTTGAAAATATTCCTTTAAAATAAGGACTTATACGGATAGAATATGTGCTAATTGCACTTAAAACCATCATAGCGATGTAACATTTTCTCTTGTGGCTGTCGCTAGAATATTACTTTATCCACTTGAAGTTTTAACAACGAAGAAAAGACGCTCTAAAATAAGCAAAAATTAAGGTCTGTAATCTCTTATAGCTCTAAAACGAAGTCGGCCAACCCCCTTTTTTATTTCACTTTTTTGAAAATACTTTTCGACTACTTGTTGAAAGACAATTTCTCTCGACAAATTACATGAGCTCTGCAGTATGGTCAAGAAATACTAATCGAAACTTAAGAAAATTATCAAAGCAAAAAAATAAATACTTGAAGGGCCCAAGGCTCAAACACATTTTCGAAAAATAGTCATCACATTGTGATTTCGAGTTTTGCTGTCAACCATCATGCATCCGAATTGAAGTGCTCATTTTAAATATAATATATAGATTCTTTTTTATTCTTATTGAAAGAATAAATAAAACTTTATCTCATTAAAAAAATATTCTTGTTTTATTGAAGATTTTAATGATTTTGTAGCCCGCAACTTTTACCCGTCACCTTACTTTTACCCGCACCCGCCGCGGCACCTTTTACCCGTGATCCGCGACCAAAAGCCAAGCTCAACCCTGAGCAACAGAAAACTCTAACTATAGTATTGATTGACAAGCTAGCATCGCTTTCATGCAGATTCTAAATAGCTTTCCGTAGGATCCAAGAAGTGGAACATTGGCTGTTGTGAATCACTGGTAGATGATAATCAATGAACTTTTTCTGGTAACTAAATTCTAGACCCTATCATTCTCAAACCAGAAAAAATTGGAATGTCTTGAAAAAAATCATTTCTTCAGGATTTTCCCATTACGTGTATATAAGGTCAATGTACTGTGGCTCATGAGTAGAGGCTTTTCAATGAATCAGTACCTTTTAGTGCTCTTTATTTTTGTTATAAAAACCTCAAGTGGATAAAGTAATATTCAAGCGACAGCCACAAGAGAAAATGTTACATCTCTACTATGATTTTAAGTGCAATTAGCCATATTCTATCGTATAAGGCGTTATTTTAAAGGAGTATTCTCAAATATCTTTTGAATGTTAGGGAACTATTAATCTTTCTTTGTGTCGAGTACTGTCCATTAATTGTGTATTCAATCATAATCAAATCTGCTTCAATAGAATTTTTGAAAACAATTGCTCGATTTCCGTATCTCCTAGAGTTGCTATGTTTTGACACACCGCGAAACAAAAACAGGTGAAACTTGAAACAGCTGAAAATGTTTTTTCTACTCCTAAAGTTCCGTCTAAAAAATTGGTTTACAGACAAGAAAGCGGACCAGCGCGTAGTTCTTATATCGTGTTCTTATGTGAAATAATATACGCCCTGTTCTACTCTATTGGTAGCCAGTCTTCTCAACATTACATATAATTTTGGGCAAATGTGTAGTTCGTGGTAAAAAGTTAGTATTCTTTAAAGACTTCAAAGAATTGCTTTTTCAAGTTTCACAATCCAATAACAGCTCTTCAGCGAAAAAGAGGTGAAAGTATTCTTCATGTTATACATTGCTCTTTCAGAAGGAAGACTTTTGTCACAGAAAATCGACGCGTAAGGCTTTTCAGTAATATTCTTTCTGCGAATATCCTATCAATCCAAGCGGAATCTTACAAAGCATAGATTTCATCTCTTTTAGAAGGAAGTTGACTCAACCAGAAAGAAGTGTCGCCAAGAAGAAGGATTACAGAGGATTGAATGCAAGCGATCGTTACAAGTTCAAATTGAAAAGTATGGACACAATATTATTTTATAATTATTTGCTTTAAAGCAGTCAGTAACCAAGCCACAACCGACCCTAATTTTCCAAAAACAACCAACATGAACAGGACTCAAAATCTCAGCCAAACTTTCATCCCATTTCAATGCTCACTCATCGATGTCTACTTCCTCGAAGTTACCGAAAGCTTCTCTTATAATACTTTTATTAACTCTATCATTTTTTTCAATGCCTTTACTGCTTTTATTGCCTCGTGCAGCAATGGCGTCCTTATCTACACCATTTGGAAAACTGAGTCACTAAGAACCCCTTCCAATCTTCTGATACTCGGTTTAACGATTTCAGATTTTGGGGTCGCTGTCTCTGCACTACCGTCCTACTGCGTGCTAAGGTTCTCTGAAATAAAAGGGAATTTATCAATGTTTTGTGTGTCCGGTACGATTTATAACGTCAGCATCTGGACTCTTGCAGCGGCATCTTTACTCTCTTTAACTTCTATCACTGCAGACCGTTTCCTGGCTGTTTATTTTCATTTGCGGTACCAAGAATTGGTCACAACCAAGCGCTGCAAGGTGGCTATTTTTGGCATATGGATATCGAGTGTCATCATTTGCGTTTGCAGAGTGTTGGCCATGGGCGTGGAACTTGTTATTTGCGGAACGATTTTACTCACTTTTATAATTTTGGTCAATGTGTTTTTTATCTTTAAAATCTCTCAAGTAATAAGCAGACACTCATTGCAGATCCACGCCCAACAGCAATCAGTACAACAGTCTATAGACATGCCCAGATACAAGAAATCTGTAAATACCATGTACTATGTGATTGGTGCGTTCTTGGTGTGTTATCTCCCATTCGTTGGAACAATGGTTATTCACACCATTTTTGCTCAAAATCAATCGAAAGAACTGTATTGCTTCATATTGATTACTGCGACGCTAGTCAAGTTTAACAGCGTCCTTAATCCATTCATCTATTGCTGGCGGATTCGAGAGATACGTAGTGCTGCCTGTAAAACTCTTAGAAGTCTATGGAAACCATAAACAACAACATCTGCGCCGTCATTCTGGATTAGAATATGATTGGCTAAAGCTTGACTTCATCCAACGACCAATGATACTTTGATAATTAGGAATCGATTCCTGGCTGTTCAGCTTCTTTTTTTTTTTTTAAAGAACTCGTCACAACTCAGTTAACAATATGGTGCAATGTTGTCTTTGTTATCAAAATATTATCTTTAACGCCGGTGTACAAGGCAAAGTTTTATAAGATTACATATTGTACTTTTAGTTTTTTTTTCTGCAATCTCTCAAGTTATCCGTAATAGGCATTCGTATAATTCGAGTTTTCAGTCGTCAACCATTACTGCTAAGGGAATGAACTTGACTTTAGTCACAACCGTTTGCCCTGATGAAGAGCAAGATGCTCGAAAGCTTGGCTTGATTTATAATTAAAAAGCTGATGAATCATAACTATCATGAGTGAAAAAGTTGTTGCGAATAACAATGAAGAACTGGAAAACCAGGCTCTTAATCACCAGCACGAGAGCAAAAATGGGAAAAAATTCAGGGAAACTACGAGTCAGACTAGCTAAAGGAAGTTGAACGGCAGAAGATAGAGCTTTCGTAAAGTATAGTCATTTGCTAGAATATAATTTTTAAAAGTGTTTTAAAACTCTAATGTGACTTGAAAAAGTTAAAGAATGTCTAATCTATGATTGAAAAACGGCAATGTCATTGCTATCTTGAATTCGTAACGAGAAATATATTCATCGGAAACTTAATCTGTTAACATTTGGCCAGCTACGCCCCCTCATGTGAGCCCATACAAATTATGTCTCAAAAACACGGTTTTTTTAAAAATCTTTTCTCAAAATATTGACTATCTAGGCAAAAATCAGATGTGGATTCAGTTAATTCAACTATTCACGGACTGTATATTATGTGGTTTGCATCGAATTCTATTGAAAAAAACTACCGTACTTTTTGAGTTGAATGTACGCACGCTATTGAATCTTACAAAAGAAAATGCCTAACATAACCGGAGTCAAGAAAATGGTCTTTCCTTGAAATGAAACAGAACCTGTCAAAAAGAAAAAAAATGTGGATTTGAAAACCCCGCGCTTTCCTAAACATTTTGGTATATAATTCATAGGAATTTGTTTAAAWTTAGAACCGTATTTTTGCTGATTTTATAAGCTCGTACTATTCGTAAAGTTAAATTGTCAATAACACCATAATTAAATTAAATTAGACGCACAAAAATATAAATGAACTTGAAAACTATTATGGTTTCATAAAAACTAAAGTAATCATTCTTCATAATTGGATTTGATGAATACAGTAAATGTATGAACACATCAATTCTATGCTCGACTTGGAGGTATTTTTTCGTGAGTCATTCAAGCAAATTCAGGAAAGGTCTGTCTGATTGCCTTGCGCTAAATATCTTACATATAAGGAACAGCGTTTTCCACAGATGACGTCACAATTATACATCATGGGATTGAAATGCGGACAAGCCAAGCCAAGCGCACATGCGTACATGCTGCAACGATGTTTTGCTGTTTCGAATTCATGGAAGAAGTATGGTTTTTCGTGTGATATACTTCTTCTTCATGTAATCGAAGCCTTTGTGTGCAATGTTTGTCCGCATTTCGACCCATCAAGGCTTAGCTATATCTATTTTTAGTAACCATGAAAAAGTGCTATTGAACGTACTTAAATGAAATTGATTTCTTCAAGACACACATCAGGCACTGACCTCGACAGGTGGTGGTTGAATATTGCATTTGTTCAGTGAACTATTTTTTTCTATTTTCATAATGGGAACTAAAATTTGTTTTTTCGCTGCCGCAAGTTAAAAATATGAAAGGTACCGACTGATTAGTTTTGATTGACGGCAGCGAAAAACAAATTTCAGCGTGAGCGCGTAGCTAGTGAGTTTGCATATAAAATAAAAGTAATTCGATTATCAAAAAGGCTAAACTAAAAAAAACCACACACGTCTTTAGATACTTAGAAAATACCTCGCATCCCAGTCTTTTTTATCCGCTAGCATTTCATGTACTCCCAGTCCTTGTATATAGAGGAACAAGTGAAGTTAAACTTCGAATTATAATAAGCAACGATCGAATATAAATCAAAAGACAGTAAGGCCTAGGGCCAACGTCGAACTTTCCATGCACCGAACTCATTAAAAACAATGGATATCAGGTGATAATGAGGCGGCATTCTTTGATGTAATTAAGTTCGGTGCATGGAAAGTTCGACGTTTGCCCTAGGCCTAATCCACCATAAGTTTTGAATCTGATACATCACATGTGAATAGGTGAAGCTCAAGGATAGATCCTAGATCCATTGTTCCTATTTAGCCGTTCGGGATTATCCGAAGGCGCTGCATAACGGGGCTGTCTTAGAGGAGCTTTATTACTTATATGGCGTGTTTTTCGCTTGCTGATACAGTGAAATGTGAAAGAAAAGTGATAGGAACATTTGCTTGTAGTGTTAATTTTCAGTGGCTGACTACTTTTCAACATTCGATTTGAGCCCACGATTTGCGCACACAAAAACCGCTGAATAATCTTCCCGATTTTCTTGAAGAACCATACACGTTTTGAACTTCAAGAGGGCAAAACCCTCATATTTTGCACGGGACTCTTTTTTTTTTTTTTTTATTTTTGCTATTTTTCGGAATAACAGGTAATTTCCCATTGTTTTTTAAAGTTTAAGACAATTCTGTTTATTATGACAATGTAAAAAAATGTTTCTGTTTGTTTTGTGCACAATTTTTACTATAACTTGCACACCATAGAACCTGAACAAAAAAGGGTTTCCATTGTCTACAATAGTTTATTAAAACAACTTTTATCAGTATTTTATAAATATAATGTAAGTTACGTGTTCGCAAAAAAGTACTCTTGTTTCTTCCTTAGGGCCATGGCAAACGTCTAACTAACCATGAGCTTAATTTAGTCGAACCTATTACATTTGAAATAGGCTCATGCCTATTACGATGTTTGCTGCAATTGAGAACGACCCTATTGAATAGGTTCGAGTCCAGCATAAGTTCGACAAGCCAAGTGGGACATTCCGACTCTGGAGTGACTTTGCGGCAAATTCATAAATTATACAAAATAGTAAATAGTGAAAACAAGCACTACCCCACCTCCCAAACACTCATTCCCCCCTGGTGAGGATGCGCTATACAAAGATGAGTGATGAACGAGACCGAGGAGCTCTGGATACGAAAATAAATTCAAAACTACACAAACTGAACATGTCCGCGTTTAGAAAATCCCTGCCACGAGACGAGACTATTGAGTCTCGTAGTTTTTGTTTTGACCAAACGAAATTTGTTTGCCTGGTTTGTGAGATGCCGACCTGCAATAAATGTGGCGTATCCGAGAGCAACGAAGATGAGCCGTGCTGGACGGCGGGCAAAAGCGTTGAGTATTGTGAATGCTACGAGAGAGGGAACAAAGAATGAAAAACAGGTTTTAATTGTGGTCGAGCGCTATATTTCGCCATTACAAGGATATGCATTATTCCGGAAAAGACAAACAAATGTCCGTGCGTTCCCCCGTGCATTTTCATGTCCAATTAAAATTATAATAACAATGGATGATTGAATTAAGATCGACATTGGTTCGACGTTTGTCCTGGGCCTTAATTTTGGTTTTATGATTTTATGTTTTTTGTACAGAGCTTGGTTTTTCTTCCAAAATTGTACAAACGCATGTCATTCCGGAGTGATTATCTCAAAAACAAACTCGGGACACCCCATTTTTCTTTGCATTTTCGAAACAAGCATTAAATTTTAGGTGAAACAAGTTTCGATTTTCAATTTCCTGGATATTATTCAGTACCAAAGTAGTCAGCCACCACCTTAATTCGTTTCTGGAAGCATAAAATGTCAAATGACTGAAGAAGCGTCCCTGCAAGTCCGGGGCAGCTAATGATACGTGAACAAAATGCCGAAAATAAATTCTAGACACCTGCCAAGTCACACATTTTCCCGATAATACCGTTTCATACTGCTCGTCAAAATGCTCTGATGTACTAGAGAACAAAAACTGAACTTAGATCTTATTAACCGAGCGGGAGGTCTGTACGGGATAATCTTGACCGAGGTCAAGATTATCCCGTACAGACCGACCAAGCTCGGTTGATAAGAGTTTTATCATATGACCACTTTTCATTGAAAAGGACAAAATGTTTTCGCCGTAAGATTAATATGCGATCGGACCGGTTAATACCGGAGAATCTAGACCAGTCCGCGATGCGATCTATCCAATCAGATTGCTCGATTTTCTAGTGACCAGGCTCTAAGATTCACGGTCATATAATAATATGATTTATCATCAAGAGTCCGTAATTGGCTTAAAGTGAATAATCTTGCCATCAACATCAAATTTCCAAACTTCATTCTTATTGGCATTGATAAACGTTTGGGCAAGACTATCCTCATCCAAGGTTGGCTGTACTCTACTATTGGAAATGTACCTCTAGAAGAAGTCCAGTCATACAAGATATTAAGATTTAAAAAGATTTAATTTTTATTTTTATATTTACTAATTACAAGGGATCAGCACTCCAATAGCATTGGACAATAGTCCTAGGACAATATTTTACTAAACGTATCTACCTCTATTTTTCACGGTTTAACAGTAAACTCCACTTATCTTTTGTGTTATAAATTTGGCCATTTTTTTTTAAACCGAACTAAATTTTTGGAAAAATTATTTTTATTTTAAATCATATTAAAGAAATAATTTCACTAATTATGACATAACATTAATAAACTGAGGAGTGCTTTTGAAACTGCACTTCGCTCGAAAGGTGACTCGATTTTGCTGCACATTTTTGACGAACTAGGTGATTTGGAATCTAGACGCGCAATGCTTTTTTTGTCACAATGAAAATGTCGAAGTATTTTTTATTATCTTTTGTCAAAATCAAAGTTTTTCTACCAACAGCGTTTTCACCGTTAAACTATGACAGCTTATGCTATTTCCAGAAGATATTTGATAAATCTTTGCACTGACGAGTTTTATTTTCATTATTTTCAAGTAAATCATTCCGCGGGTGAGTTTTATTTTCTTTATTTTCTTTTATTTAAAAGAAAACTGTAACTGATTTATCGAGCTGAAAACTTGGAGCTAGGATATATTGAGCTACGAAGTGGGAGACATCAGACAACACTTGGTCACATCAGACAACACTGGGTGGCATCAGACAACAATGGATGACATCAGATAACACTAGGTGACATCAGACAACACTTGGTGGCATCAGACAACACTGGTTGACATCAGACAACATTGGGTGACATCAGACAGCACTGGGTCAAATTAGACGACACTGGGTGACATCAGACAACACTGGATGACATCAGACAACATTGGGTAAAGTCAGACAGTACTGGGTGACATCAGATAACACTAGGTGACATCAGACAACACTTGGTGGCATCAGGCTACACTGGGTGTCACGAGAAACCAGTTACGGGTATTTATCGACTTGCAATTCACAGTTTACTGCATCTCTAATGACGATTATGGTCTGTATTTATAACTTATACTTGAGTAGTTGCTGTGGAATGCTTTGTATATTTATTGGTAGACCTATCTGACTCTCTCAGATTGTTGGAACGAGTGAAAAACTTCAATCGATAAAGTTTCTTTATTCTTGAGTTAAACGTGAAGGCAACAGCGATGTATACACCTTGGAGGGTGTTGAATACGACGAAAGGATAATTGAAATACGCAGATTTTAATAAAGCTAAGAAGCCGAAGATCCACGTGAAGCCCATAAGAACTGCGATTTTGATGTAGATAGCGAAATGGCGTTGGTTCTCTCGCTGATGTGTTACCATCCTTGCTTGCTTCTTTGCCTTGTAAATAGCTTTTACAGTCAGGCTAAAGAAAACAGCGTTCCAGATTATAGAAGCCGCCAAGGGAAGGATRAARATRAAGAGGTTGGCAAGACCATTGTTGATCCAGCATCCCTTTGGACCACCGTACCTGATTTCAACGGCTCCTGATTGRTCKAGGRTRAGACAAAYRAGAACSAATACGAGAACAGGGAGCCATCCAACTGCWAGAGWGYGRCRTATCTTCTTTCTTCGGTATTCCTTATCAGATGATCTGCCTGCACATCCGGTTGACGAGAATGCTTTCCAAGTGTTGAAAGCTATAACAGTCATCCARGCAAAYGASGCMASRAATGAAAAATGAAGAATTACTGCAATGRCKACGCATGCTCCGTGAGAACCTGTCTGGYCTGATCCAATCAGCCAMAMGAAATGGGCCACCAGTAAGGCTGACGATARATTCATCAGGTTTATACCTGGTAATGTCCTTAGTTCTCCAAACAACAGATAMGTMACCARCACAAACACAAGACAAACAACAGACAAGGACAGACCRATGGATGTCAGKATAYGYAGGGCTGTGTCATTCTGTGACTCGTCAGTTAATYGTGYTTTARTGTAMTTMYTCGAGTACKTAGTACACACAAYCAYGCTTCCATTGRTGATGCTRTATTCACCTTGGTTGTAGAYTGTATTYGARGCATTTCTGTAGACCGAGTTGTTTGGTAACATGTCATACTCGTCTTTGTCTAGAYKKATGTACGWACCATTGCATGTTAATGTATTTGGAAGATGTTGCCTACAAACTRCAATMGAWCCCACGGGAATCTGGTATCCATTGTGTTTTTTGGTGGAGTTGGCAAAGTACTGCTTTTCTGTCAGTAGTTCTTGTGTCTGGTTGATGTAGATGCTGCTTGAACCGTGTACCACAACATAATCTTTAGGTGTAAAGTACTGCACATCAACACAGGTCAAGAGTCTTGATGTTGCTTTGATCACTGTGAAGTTGTTAAAACCAATRCTAAAATCAAATGGACGAGTAAAGTTCAGTAGCATATCGATACTCATCCTAGTTGAAAACTCAAGTCCTGTTCTTTTGGTTATATTCTTTTCGATGTACAGGTTTGCGACCAACATAACCATCGAAGACGTAACTAAGCTTTTTCTCTCTACAAACTCAAATGACTGGGGCTTCAGCCCAAGAAGCTTACTTAGGGAATCGAATATTTTTTCATTAGGATAATCCTGTATCGTTCGTTCATTATTCCTTCCCGGTTTAATCCACATTGAAATGTTGTACTTGTTCAGTTTTGGAGAGAAATGTTTCCGGGGAAACTGTAAAACCTTTCGACACGTTTGCAAGGAGACATCGTAGACTTGATCATCACCACACGAAGCCACGGTATTCAGCTAAGACTAAGAACCTTTAAAATATTCAATTCTATGAGGGGTTCATCAAGTGTTAATATAACATGGACCCGGAGAATACCTGTAAAGGAACTAACACCTGGGGCATTGAATAATTCTATTTTTGTTTTGTTATTCAATGTATCATTAATTTTGTGAATAGTTATATTGGGCTTGGCGATATGCGATCCAAAGCGGTATTGAAAACCTGAACTGCCACATATTAAGTATTTATCTGGATCTCCATTACATCTAGCGCAATGGACATTCTTGTAGTTTCTTAGGCTCAACTTTGAGTATACAATTCTGTATGGACCCCGTTCGCAACCAATTTTCTCTGAATCTCCATAAGTACAATTGTCAGGCGTTTCAAATGGTCGTGCACATTTCCGCACTTGCTGATCTCCTACTGTCGCTAGTTTTACAACTTTGCAATAATCAATAAGAAATTCTATTTTTTGTTCGGCACTGTAATTTTGTGGAGGTGTGAGCTGACAATATTTAAAGCTATAGCTGAGACGTTTCGTTTCTTGTTTCCTGACTCCATTGCAGAGGGCGCAGTGTTGGTTTTTATAAGTCTTGCCTGTGGTGCTTATGACAGGAGTTGCATCAGCGTAGTTCGATGCAGAAAGTGTGTCGTTGGTTTGACATTTTACGATCGAGTCTACCGAAGTGAAGTTTTGAGGGCAGGAGTCAATCATCATTATACCRTCATAGCATCGCCATTTCTCATCCAGTGTCTTTGTTGTAACAACTCCTTTACAAAACTGATCGAAGTCAGCACAACAATCCTTGAAGCTGTTACAATATGGGTCGCAATAGCATCGATCTTCATCTGGATCTTTTGTTCCRTTATCTCTTGCTAGCTGACATCTTCCTTTACAAGAAACGTCGTCAGAGCAAGTGATATTGAATGTTTTTGGCGGGATGAACTCTGGTGTTAATTGAGGCAAAGTTGGTAGTATGGCTGTATTTCTCTCAGTTTGCGGCGGCGTTGCTGTTATGTTTGATGATGGATCTGAACTTCGCCGTTTTCGGTGGCCTACTGCTGAAACTAGAAACCCTCTTTCAACCGTTGTCGATTTCATCCCATACTTTCCTCGTAATACTTTTTTTTCTTTCCATGAAGCAGGCAGAAATTCACCATTCTCCCTCGCTCGTTCTGCCATGCAAATTGAATTCAAAATAGATCCTACCAAACAAGAATAGATAAAGATGTACATCACCTTTGTGGCCGTTATCCTTGGTCCTTAAATTACGTCCATTAATTCCGTTCCACAGGAATATATTTGTCCTTAAATTTGAAAAACGACGAGCCTTTTTATGTTAAAGCCGGGGTTAGTTAATGAGTTTATTATTGGTACTCATTCATTTGCTGCTACTGTCATCTCATTGCGTTTGACCATAGGCAATATTTAACCATTTTATATATGTTATTAACCATGGTTAACCATAATTAACTCTCTTTATTATTAAGAGGTTGGACCTTTCCTTTTCTACTAATCTAGGTTCTTAATTACCTCAGTGCAATCTTACTAATTAACAATTTCCATAAAGAAATCGAAAAGCCAGACAGCTGTTTTGATCAACGTTCACAGGAGCACGTAAGCAAATATATGTATTGTAATCATAATCCTAGGACGAGTATCTTAAAGACGTCGGTGGACACTTCTTTTCTTTATATTTCTTTCTATTTCTGGATGCCTTTTTCTTAACATGGAGTTATTTTAATTTAACAATTTAACAATAATTGTTTCCAAGTCTTCCGGGTCATTGAAGAACCATTTTCAGGAGCAGATATGAAAAGTGCTTTTATCCTCAAACTACGTTTTTTAAAATCAAAGCTCTGTAAATAGATTGCAAGTATTGTCGATTGCTGTCACAACTTAAGCCTTTGTTTAGCGGCTTGTGGCTTATTTATCAGAACATAGCTAACAAAAGCGCTTTCTCATTGATCAAACCTGTGAAGCTAAAGGAAAATACAGTAAGCATAAAAATTTCCACGAGAAAAATGGTGATGCTTTTGAGACCCCAAATTTAGTCAAAGTTTTAAAGCATTTACAATGCGATTGTTGTAAGGAAGCGCTATTTGATTTTATAGCACTAGCTGTTATAAAACCAGAAAACAAGTTAGAACGAAGTACAGAAAAGAAGACCAAATGATAATATATCGAAATTCACCAAAGCTTAAAAATAATTATAATTTGGCTTAACACAGCTGGATATATGGCATTAATTACTGTCGCAAAACCAGAAACAAGGCTAAAAGTCGATCGTGCAAACCATATATCCGTGAGATAACACAAGAACTAAATAGCACTAAACACATGTATTTCTTTCGTTTTCAATTGTTTCATTGGTGCTATTTCTTACTAGTTAGCTAGTACTATTTCATTGAAGGGTTTTAAGGCAGTCAAATAAAAATAAGTACGCTCACAACTATTTGGCGCTCACGGCTGCTTGTTGATTATTCATGCTTTACTTCCGTGTTATTCCTTGTCGTGTGCTGTTAGTCGTGATGCATATGAAATTAAAGGAAAATATTTGTAAAAGATGCATCTTTTAGTGACTTTTTTTAGAAAAAAATCGTTCGACGATTTTTTGAATGCCGCTTTCATCGATATTTACTATCGCTTTTGACAACAAATGGGGTCATTTAGCTTCATATAAAAAAATCCATAACGTTAGAAAGAAAGTCACGATTTGATTCATACTCAATAAGGACAGTGTCTATAGCCGTACCTATATTGTAGCTACTAAAAATATGGAATCCACTAAATTAAAGTCCCGATTTTGAGGGTATAAAGTTGACACGCTGGAAATAATAGTAAAAGTCCATGAAAATATTCTTCGCGTAATATTTGGAAAACGCTCTCATACATTTTTTTCATATTGCAGTATGTTGGGTGCCTTGATGAATATTATCGACTGGTGCAAGTCGCTTTGAAAGTTGAGGTCTAGKTTTYGAGAAAATAAGCGGTAAACGATTTCTATGATGTCATCATTACGTCATAATGAAAAGGCCGCTTTAAACTAATTTATCATTTTTGGAACCTTTAATCCTTTCCTGACATTATGTGAAAAGCACTTGCAGATTGAGCTATTCAAGACGAAGTTGTAGCCGTTTCAATGCGGCTAGGTGTGCCAGACCAAATCTACCCAGAGCCTCCTTAAAGGGCGTCGTGCAGAAAAGAATCCACGATTTTCAACTTATACAGTAGTGAATTAAAATAGTCAAAAAAGCTATCAAATAGGGGGGAAATGTCAAACAGAAATCGCATTTATACCGCCCCCACCAAAAATATGCCCTGTTCATAGTTAAAAGTGCTTTAATTGGGTTTAGAAAATCAGCAACAAACGCATGTCAACCTTTGATGTAAAACTGCTTATATCTTTCCTTTATGTTACACAATATACGTTTCAGGGTAGTTTGGGAGGCACACAAATTTGGAACTCAGATAATCGGGAGTAAGGCCATTCTAGGATTTGAAAACTAAAATGGCCTTATGTTTTTCTCGCTGGGTACTCAGAGTATTCATTACATTCTCGCTGCACGGTTTTGCAGTTTTTGTAACTTGTCAGAAAGAGTTACACAAACGGATGTATGCGGGATTCCTGTTGATTTGGCAGGAAGATAGTACAATGCCCCCATCGTACATAATCGAGACCTCGCTACGCCCCGGCTTCTCCGCTTTTCCTCCCTCCGTATATATAAATCAGTCAACATTTGAGTCGAGGCGTTGTGTGCATAAAATAGTAATGTAGTGGTAGTGAGTGGGAGTGAAAGCAGGCCCACATCAGCGAAAGCAGCCAAAATAATCAGCCTGCTATAACAAATAAAAAGATTAATGATTATGATTATCCTTGTGACATTAATTGCTCGCATTTCATAGAAGCTAGAAAACCCTGTTTTATTAAACAAGGTGTGAATGGCGCATTAATTTACCTAATCGATTTGATATGCTCTATATTATTCCCTTATACTTAATGCAATATAGATGTCATAACCATGATTATCCTTGATTATCCTTGTGAAATTAGTTGCTCTCATTTTATAGAAGCTAGAAAAACCC